CCTGTACTCGGTCCCCTTGTTTCTTATTTCGGAGGTTCCACCCAACTATTGGTATAAAAACCAACTGCTCTACGAATCGCTCACTTCTTTCAGTGGTAAAGCAATTTAACGCCCACAGACGCCAGAAATCCAAAACCCCATCAGCTTGCTTCTAAGCAACCTTCGAAAGAGAAAGCTTTTGTTGTCAGCTGTGGTTACTGTCGGTTGCTACCAATCGATCTACTTCCCGAATGCTTCTGCTTCTGGTAGAAATCGGCTACGGAGGGCTTTTCGATTTTGATTTTGATGTTTTACTCCCTTAGTGAGAAGTGTTTTCAAAATTTGCTCTATAAACTTTGGCAGATATATTTCAGTTGGTGAAATATCGAACAGTGTTCACTTGACATCGCTTACAATGACAGTGAAAATTCTCAGGTAAACAAAATCCTGTAAATTCAAAAGTTTATGGACTGACCCCGTGAGCTGCTGATTGAAGGATGAGAAGATGTGAAGGCCTGTCAACGAGGTTGAGCCACGGTAATTATCATCAACGATCTGTTTTAGCTTACTGCTTGTTGGCGCAATTGTGTTCACTGTACGTGGAAACGATGAGGCTACGATGCTGGCAGCTGAAGTGGTTGTCGAGGAATCCACAGCCGGACAGCAGCAGCAGCAGCAATCGCCTATAGTTGAAGCGATAATGGAGCAACACCAGCATCCATCTGTAGACGAAGCGAGTGCCACGACGACTGCAAGTGAAACGTACTCGCCTACAGAAGCAGTGGAATGTGCGGCAGCTGAAGACGAACAGCAAGAAGCAGAGGAGGATGCACTCAGAAGAATAAGGGTCGGTATTTTGCTATTGCTTGAAAGAATTTACAATCATTTTTATTGAAAAAAAAAAGACAAAAAGTTAAAATTAAGCGGAAAAAAGAGAGCTCTCAGGAACAAAAGACAAAACTTGTTCATATTTTGCAAACGGGATTAACTTGTGCGACAGTATTTTGCCCACACTGCAAATTCGGGTCACTGCTGCACCGCTTTAGTATTTCTCTAGGCAACGTTCATTTGTAGACAGATCTGTCTGCGGGACTTCCCTTAAAAGATACTGAATTTAGGAAAAGTACTTTAACTGATCAATTTTTTTAGATTCTTATCTAAATTTCCTGAAAAGGAGCAAAGAACACAAATTTTTCGAGGAACGAAAATGAAAATAATAAATAGCAGCGCGCACCAAGGCAGCCAGTGCGATCATGCGTTTTGTGCAATTCCGTTCACCGAACTATTGCCTGCTAATGTTTTTCACTGCTTTGCACTTTGGTCTGTGCAAAAATAGTTGAAATGTTATCTGGTTCTTAAGTTACGGAATTTCCCACTAGAAATTTCACGCACACGAGATAATAACTTCTCTATCAAGACTTTCACGGGACTGTACGTGGCACCCA